TGTGGGTGCGCGCCCCGGGCTGGCTGGGACATCTCTCACGGAATGCTTTTCCTTTCCTCGCAGTGCTTGCACACTTAGTGGCGTCAGGTGCGGGTTTTGTGGAAGATCTAGATGAGTCGTAAGTACTGGGGTGTTTTGCATTATTGCCTAAATATTGTATGGTGTCTTGTGGGGAACATGACTCCGGACTGACAGCTTTCTGCACAGTGTGCATGTTCAGAAGGCTGCCCTGGAAAAGTTTTGTCTTTTGCTTAGCAGGAAAAGAGGAAAGGGAGGAGGATTATGGCTTGTATTATCATAGAATATTCTGTGTTGGAAGGGACGCACAGAATCATTGAAGCCCAACACCTAGGCCTGCACAGGACCACCCCAGGAATTATACCATGTGCCTGAAAGCAATGTCCAAATGCTTCCTGAACTCTACCCGGCTTGATGCTGTGACCACTTGGAGCTGTTCCAGTGCCTGACCACCCTTGGGGTGAAGGACCTTTTCCTAATATCCAACAGACATCACCCTGACACAACTTGAGTCTATTCCCTCGGGTCCTGTCACTGGTCACCAGAGAGAAGAGATCAGTGCCTGCCTCTCTGCTTCTTCTCATGAGGAAGCTGTAGATGGTGATGAGGTCTCCCCTCAGTCTCACCTCTTAAGTAGGTTCAGTTAATGAAGCTGAGGAGCAATTTAATTTTGCAGCTTTTTGCAAAAAGTGTTCTCAGGATTCTTTGCTCACTCTTTCTTTTTGGTAGAGTAAATATTGGTGTATTGGTCCCAGCCCCAAATAAAAGCTGAATACGTTCAACCAAGTTTTTCTTCAGAGTTTGCTGAATAGCTGCCAGAAGGGGGTTGGGAGTATGAGTGCATTCATGCATGGCCAGAAACAGAAGAGAGAGGCAGGTCTCCAGGACTTGTTCATGGGTGAAGTGCCAGTTATATTCCAGTGTAAAAGTGTGCTTTTACAACAGAATTAGCTCTGAGAACAGTGGAGGTGTTGAAATGGGTAGTTCTGCCCTTAACTGGGTCATGTGGTGGCATTGTTCCTGTACTACCTTGCAGTTTGATGGCTATATAGTTACTGTTCCCAAGAAACATTACCCAGAAATGGTTGGTTTTTTTTGTGCGTCAGATCAGCAGGTTGATCCAAAATGCTACAAAGCAGCAAATTATTAGAATTGAAATAGAAGGTATAGAAAATACTGGCTGGTAAGGGAGATGGAGGTGGCATTAGATAGCTACTTTGTGATAAATTTCAGCCAATTAAAGGCAATGTTTTTGTGAGAATTTAATCCATGATAAATTATGTCATAGAGCTAAACAGTCAGAAAAGCCTTTGCTTTTTTACCATGTTGCTTATTCAGCTAGAGCAGATAATCATAAGATCAATTGAGGTGCAGTGGATTTATGGGTGAGGGAATGGGAATGTATGGAAGAGGTACTGAAGAGAGACACAGTAGCATCTCTGACTGGTGTTGTGAAAAGGCAGCTGAAGCACAGGAACTTCTGGGGCTCCATTTGCAAAACTCTTTTGAAACATGTATCTTCCAGGACTGAAGATAAAGAGGCTAAGTGAATAAAATAGTATGTATCTGTGCTCCTGCATCACGTTCCCGTATCATGTTTACACAGGTGTAAATTTAATTGTATTTGCTGTTTTGGAGTGAAGAAACATAATTCTGTAGTGACAGCCTTTTAAAAATAGCTGATATAAAAAAATGGTATTTTAGAGCACTTGGATTTACAAAACTGTATAGATGTCTGTATTTGCAGTGGGGGAGTTGTTCAGAACAGGTTTTGTGTTGTTTTGTCTTGGGGTTTGGTTTTTTTTTTTAGATAAACGGCAAATGGTGAAAAAGGTCAGGAAAACAATTTGAAGGAAACAAACCTGGGAGCAGTGACTGGTGAAGTTTCAGTTTTACCATTTTATAGATACTTAAACATTATGGAGTTTTTGCTGTTGCTGAAAACTTTGGGTTTTATTTGAATTTTGGTAGTTGTAAACAGTACCAACAGTACCAGGTGCAGATCCCTTTCCAAAACTTACAGGTTATAGGAAAAGTAACAGCAGAACTAACAGAGGTCCAAGGTACTCAACATTGCCCAACTGGGCTGTGGAGGGGAAAATAAGAGCTGTGATTCCTATTAGCTTATGCTGCTCTGACAGCTGATCTGCTGCCTCAGATCAGTATTCATCTTGAGGTGTTTGTAAACTTGTTCAAGTGTGACAATGAAGCAAATAATTAACTTGACTAAAAAAAGGAAATATTTTTCTGGCTGTGAGGATGCATTGGTGGCTCAGCACAGGACCAGAAGCATTGGAAATGGTGCAAGGGGAATGGGAAGGGAGATGGCAAAAAATAGACACAGTTGCTAGGCTTGTTTAAGGCCCTTGGAATTGTGACCTTGGTGTTCAGTTTTGCTTCGTGCTGGTTTCTTTTGACTGTTACTGATTAAGGGGAGTGAGTGTTTTAAGTGGAGGTTGAGGCAATATTTGGTCATAGAATTGGGAAGTTGTGTGTAGTTGAGACAACTAATTTTGATTCAAGGATATGCATCACCTACATCATCTTTCCACCTGTATGATTGTGTCTATGCCAGCTGACAGAAAGGATTTAATAGAATAGTTGAAAAGAGACACTGAACTTTTATGTTTGAAAATTTATTTATAAGGCCTAGAAACAGCACCTTCAGAAAATGCTTGAGTACTCATTTGTATGCACTTAGGTTTTTCTTCGAGAGTATGTCAAACTTCCTTAATAAAGTCTGATGGTTTAGTCACTGACATTACAATAACTAGAGTGAGTTTTGGTAGTTCTTTTTTTCACACTTCAGAATTTAGGTTATGCGGAAGTTGATTAAGTAGGTGCTTGTAAATGAGTAGGACACTGAAATTTATTAATGTAAAAACTTCAGTATTTTTGTACTCTCTTAGGCCAAAATGATAAATCCCATTGGAACATTCAGCCTCTGGATGTTTCCTTTTTTCTCCCCTCTTTTCTTTGCTGTCTGCTGGTTCTCCAAGATTTCAGTGTGCCTTTCTCAGTGCTTTAATGCTCTGTACAATTTGCCATAACAATTGTACTGTGGCAGAGGGAGGAGAACATTTCATTGTAAATTCTTCTTTTACAAAGCAAAAGTGGTGCTCTAAATTGAACCACGGCCCAGGATCTTATGATTCAGTAGCTGCTTTCTGCCTCTTGCATCATAACCAATTATTTTACATTGCAATTGGAGGTTAGCTGTAGCTTTGTTAAGAGTTCTCAAGAGATGCTAGGCTCTAACTGGTTCTTTCATTAGTTCTATAGCACTTAGGGTGATGAAGTAAATTTTTAGTGAGTTGATCAACTAATCAGTTTTGTGAATTAAAAATGCTTAGTCGACCTCCTTAGAAAATTGCTTTACTACAGCAGTTTCATGTTAGTCACTGCAAATACCTTTCCTGGTATACAGACATTGTAACCTTGGTATGCCATCTATAAAAAAAGGCTGGAATTTACAGGTGAAATGCTGCAATTCCAAGTTTCAGACACTCAGCACTAATTAGATTGTATTCATTATTTCTGAACTACTGCTTTCAAACAGTAAGCCAGCATCAGCATTAGTATTTCTTCAAGATCATTATGGACTATTGCAGATTCAGCTTTAAATGAAATGAAGTAAATGTTCACTGATTCTTGCTTGCTGCCTGTGAGCCTTTTATAGGCCTGCTGCATATTGGGAATTGAGGACTTGGGCTAAACTTCTATTGATTGGTTCTCAGAGTGGAGCTCACACATTTCATAATTATATAGAAATATTAATCTCCTTTCACAATAAGAGTATTGCAGTAAGAGTGTTGTATCATGTATGTTACAGCATATGACCTTACTCCCAGTTCTGGTCACTTTTATGAAGACACTGTCTTTTGCAAAAATAAACCTTACTTCAAAATTCTGGCTTATTTAATTCTCTACATAGAGGTAGTTAACTAATAGCAGTCATTCGTTTGATCTTGTAGTGAGAACAGTTCAGTGAAATGTGTAAGCAACATTTTGGAAGGTACTGAAGAACTTTGATTTATCGTGTTCTATTCTTGTTCTAGAGGTTTTAGCATTTAGTGACAAATTTGCAGTTAATAAAGCTAGTCAGTTCATTTAAATGCCATTTGCTTAGCATTAAGAATATTCAGTAGTATTTTGTCTCTCTGTTTTTTATCAATATTTTTATTCAATAAGTTGGTTTCTTGTGTGCAACTTCAATAATACCATATACTGACACACGTATAGTAGAATGTTAAAGGAGGTTGAACTAAAATTGGTTTGGGTGTTAATATTAGAGGTAAGTTAGTTAGTTTGCATTTTGTAAGGCTAAGATTAGCAGTGTAAACCAGTGCTCTGAGAGTCTGTATTAGTTGATCTGTAAAAGTACATTTTCTAGAGAGTCAACAATACTTAATATAACTAAGACATCTGGAAAATACTTCTTCCCCTTAGATTACATATGCTAATCAAATGCCTTTCATGTGTTTTGGTGTATATTTTGATTTCTTGCTGTTTTCTGTTTTCTTGTTGTGTGGTTTTTTTGGTTTTTTTTTTTTGTTTATTTTTTTGTGGGGGTTTTTTGTTTTTTTGTTTGTTTTTTTTGGTTTTTTAAATAGTTACAGAATCCTAATTGGTACAACTGTGTGTGTAGAATCATGAGCAGGGGCAATATTAATACTAAAAAAAAGCTATCTCCTCTGTTCCTCCACCCCCACAGACAAAAACAAAACAGAATTCTAGTATCTATAGTTTTGTACCAATTTAATTGTAGACTTTTTGCTGTTTCACACATGTACTTCACGATTTTCTTTTCGGATATGTGATTTCTTCTTTTCATTTTTTCCCCTTCTAGGTTTAAAGAGAACCGTAAAGATGATATTTGGCTTGTAGATGTGAGTATTTGAGAAAAATGGGAAGACCTGCTAGTGGAAATCAAAAGACAAAAAGTACAATGCTACACTCTGTAGTAAGGCTGCTTCATCGTTTGGAAAATTGTACATGATGCAGAAAAATTTAATGACAGTGATTCTTCTGACAGGATGGATAAACAATCTGTCTGTATTGTTCAGGATGGATGAACCAGGAATAGGTTGAATACTGCATGCAGATAGACTTCATCCTATATTTTACAGTCCTTAAAAAGGAAAGCATATTATCTAACACTTACAGTCAGGAGGTGATAACCTCTGTTCAGAATTTTTACAGTTCCATTCTCTAATTATACAAGCTCATTTGTGTTCTAGACATTTATTAGCCCTGCAGGATCAAATATATGAGAGGCTTCTTTTACATTTCTAACTTACTGGGAAAGATTCGGTGCCCCTTATCTCAGGGACAAGGAATTACTAGAAAGATTGAGCTTGTTTGTGAATGAGGTAAAATTCCTTTTATCTCACCCAAATATGAGCTGTAATTCTCAAAATTGTATTCAGATTTGGGGGTTTTGAGTGGGAAAATCTGTGTGTGCTGATTTGGAGTTATCAGGAATGTGTAGCTTTGTCAGTTTTGGCAAGTTGTGACCGGATCTTGTTATACCAAGACATCAATATCTTCCCTGTGAATTTCTCTGAGGTGTAGCATGACATAGGCAGAAAGGAGAAATGAACTATCCGAGCTCTGCTTGGCCCTGAGAAAAAGGGATTAACTTTTCAGTATGCTTCTACAAAAGTAGTTGCTGAAGGACTGAAATCCAGAGGGCAGCTTGGGGAAGTATACATATGTATATAAGAATATATACACACATAGCCTTTGCTTTCAAAGAATAGGGTTGTGTTGACAAGGAAATTAATACTCCTGGATAGATTGTTTACATGATCGTTAAAAGATAAAAAAAATAGGAAAATATTCCAAAATTGATTTGATACCACATGGTCTGTTTTTAAGTAAGAAATAATTTAATAGCACAGCAATTCAATGCATTCTTTTCAACTTTGACTTTCACATTAAAAGTAGGACCAAATCATAAATTGTTTGTCACACCAGCATTTTAATTAACTTGCACTTTCATTAAGACATAAAGTGTACCATGACTGATGATTTCAGGGTTAATGGTAGGATCAGCTGCTACTAATTTTTTTAAAATTGGAATATATTTGCTTCTCAGTTTTATGCACCTTGGTGTGGCCACTGCAAGAAACTGGAGCCTGTGTGGAATGAAGTGGGCCTCGAAATGCGAAACATGGGCTCTCCAGTGAAAGTTGGGAAGATGGATGCAACTTCCTTTTCTAGTAAGTATGATTTGGTTAGGGATAATTTCATCACAGCCTCTGTTTTGAAACTATTATTGATTTATTTTTTTTCATCAAGTCGTTCTTCTGTATCATAGCACAAGTAGCAAACAGTCGTCAGAGAACATGTTTTTTTTGTTTGTGTTTTTTTGTTTGTTTGGTTTTTGGGTTTTGTTTGGGGTTTTTTTTGTTCTAAAAGCTACAGCTTGCACAGTATGTGCTTTTAATCACATTGGTTTGTGCCTGGGTAGGGGATTGTTCCTGACAAACGGAAGGTAAAAGCTTTTCAAAGATCTGCTTTTGATATGCTTCTGAGAGTACTGTGATATAACCATTTTTAGGTAGTGCATCTCTTGACAGCATCCGGTTTTAGGTTCCTTGTATTACTCTTGGGGGGGTGCTTAAGCTGTTAAACAAAGTGTGCTGAAATCACTGAATTCATTTCATCAGTGTTGAGCCAATTTCATAGAATAATAGAATTTAAGGGTTGGAATGGACCTTACAGATCATCTAGTCCTGACACCCCCTGCCATGCATAGGGACACCTCCCCCCTAGACCAGGATGCTCAAGGCCTTATCCAACCTGGCTTTGAACACCACCAGGGTTGGGGCAGCCACCACTTCCTGGGCAACCTGTTCCTGTGTCTCACCACTCTTATAGTAAAAAACATTTTTGTAATATCTAACCTAAACTTCCTCACCTTCAGTTTGAACCCATTACCTCTTGTCCTGTCACTGCAGTTCCTAATAAAGAGTCCCTCTCCAACTCCCTTGTAGGCCCTTCAGATATTGAAAAGTTGCTATGAGGTCTCCACACAGTCTTCTCCAGGCTGAACAGCCCCAACTTTCTCAGCCTGTCTTCATAGGGAAGATACTCGAGTCTTACCAACTTTGTGGCCCTCCTCTGGACTTGCTCCAATAATTCCATGTGCTTCTTGTCTTGTGTTGACCAGAACTGCATGCATGTTTCTTCCGATGTTTTTCTGTAAATGTCTTAAAGAACCAAATTCGGCTCTTTTTAACACTTCTCTTTTTGCTGATGCCTTATGTATGTATTGACCTTTTCAGAGGAAACCCAAAACTTTAGGTATTCAGAGAAGTGGTTTGGGTTGATACGAGAGGATTCTTGCATGCCTAACAGTACTTTTGGTTTTGTATGGTGGTTAATTGCCATTTCTCTTCAATATCTTTTTAACCAGGAGGATATTTTAGAGGGAAGACAATAGGGAGGACTGGGCCCAAGTGAGATCTATATGTAATAAAATTTTGGTGATACATGTAATGTTTTTAGTTAATACCCATTAAACCTGATTATTTAGGGTTTTTTATATTTGTCTAAAATATTATTCAGAATACTTTTTTTCAGTGGTATTCCAGTTTTTGTGCACTTACATATAACAGAGTTTTTTAAGATCAAAAGGATTTTGTCTCAAACACCAGTGTATTATATGTAGCTTTTTCTGTAAAACCACATAAATTTGACTTCATGTTTCATCTTAAAGATACTTATTTGCTATAGAATGGTAGGTCTGGAGAATTAGAAGTTTCAAGTTCATGCAATGAGGTAGTTTCAAAATTGGGACTAGATTTCTTGCATCTCTAACTTTCCAGTCATGTATATAAAATTCTAGAAATCATAGAAATTGTGTAGAGTCTTACCCTGAAATATTTGTGTCTGTCATCCTGATACTAAATTCCTATGTTCGATACCTAGAACAGAACCAGTACTTGGTTTTGTTCTATAATTCAGTTTTGCATATTTAAAAATGGCTAAAATCCGCAAGGATTCCTTTGTGCCCTGGAAAGTTTTTCATCTCAGATTTGTTACTGGCTTTATAAAGGATATTGTCTGATAAATATTTTGAAATAGTTTTATGCTTTTATTTTGAAGCTGAAAATTTTACAACATCTGGATATGAAAAGCTCAGTCAACTTTGCTTAATGTCTTTCCACTCTAAAAGATTCTCTGAAATCAACGTAATTCAGTCTTGAGACTATCAGAAGGAAATGCAGCTGTAGTGTGTCCACGTGTAACTAGAAAGGAACACGAAAGGGTTTGTGTTCCTATTAGGAATATGTAGTGTGAAAAATCTGAACTTTGGGAAGCTTGTTGTCAGAGAGCTAAGATCACAGATGAACATAGAAATCTTCCAGTAAATGTTTCAGGTGTGGACTCTTGGTGCTTTTTTGAGTGTAGTCATTGTTATTCAATAGGGAATTGCACAAGCATTGTAAAAGTTTTAGACTTATTTTAGCCTTTTTTGAAGATTGCTTAGTTTAATCTTTGGAAAACATTCAATTGACTGGAATGTGTGGTTTAAGGTGGCAGTTGCTTTGTTCACAAGTGGAAGGATGGTTGCAAATTGTGCTACTCTAATTGATGGGAGCAAGATAGAAGGTTTTAAACAAACGAGAAGTGGGGGGAAAATTCTGTAGTTGCTTTTTCACCACTGTAGTAAGCAGCAGGTAAGTAATAGATAGCTTAGAAAGTATATGTTTCTGGTGTGGCTCATGACTGTAGATATTTACTGGAATATGATTTAATAACTTTTTTGTAGTTACTGCAGTATGATACTGCACTTCTGTTGTTGGCCATTACTGTAGCATGAGTAGTTAATTTTCTTAGATTTCTTTCAAGCATTAGTATTTACAACTCTACATCCTTGATGCTTAATTCTTGCCTCAGTATTTTCAGTCAGTTGTATGTCCATATTAAATGCATGCCACCTTTTGGTGAAAACAAACTAAGCATGTCTATTTAGAGGATTGTCATGACATTTGACTTGTGGCATATGAATTGGGAACCTGTACTGGGACCCTGCAGCATCTCTGAAAGAGGTCCAAAATTTAATGATGTAGCTTAATAACAGCAGCTCCTTGAAAGCAAGTGAAGTAATTCATACTGAATGAAGTGGTAGTTTTGATTTGTTTATGTGGCTTGAATAGTAAACTGTGTTTAATGATTAAGGTAGGAGAGCAAGAAAGTCTTTGTTCACTTGCCAATAACACATTTCTTTCAGGTATTGCATCTGAATTTGGAGTGCGAGGCTATCCAACAATTAAGCTGTAAGTTGATGCTTCCTATTGAATTTCTAACATTTCATGACAGTAAACAAAAAATAGCCATGTCCTTTTAAAAATCCCAAACAAACCAATCACAAAAAAACACTCCTAAAACATCCCCCCCAAAAAACCCAAACAAAAAACTACCTAAAAAGTACTTCACCATCTCTTGGTGACAGTGTCTTTTTTTTCAGCTGGTCTGTTTTGCTGTGAAATTCAGTCATGTTAAGCATCTCATTTAGAGACAGAGTTCTTATAGATAGGTTAGCAAATTTGGAATTCATTTGACTGCTGTTTTCTATGCAGCCTTGCAAAGGTGTGTGTATATAAATTGATTGTTCAAATATATATACAAAATTATTATTAAAAGGAATTTCATGCTTCATTTGTATTGACTTCTTTAGAGTGATCCAGCCTGTAAGTGCATATCTGAGTCTTCCTGTTAACTTGTTGTAAGCTGCAGATTGTATTTTCTTATTTTCAGTTACCGCTCTCTTCTGTTGCGTTTGCCTGAATAATTTTATGCAAATGACAGTAGTGGTTACTGTATAGGCTGAAGTGTGAGAACAGTTGTTTAACAAGAGAAGTATACATAGATTTTTTTTTTTCCCCCACTTAATTTAAAAAATCCAGTGGAGGACAGAAATTATAAGAAAATACCAATTCATAATGATATTCTACGTGTTTGTTTAAAATACATGTAATGTGTCGTCCAGTACAAGGTCATGTTAAATAAAGACTCCGTAATTTTGACTTCTTTTTACATACTGGGATTTTTAGCATGTTATTGTTTAAGCAAACCATATTCATAATATGTAATAATTAATCTTACCAAGATAGTTTTCTTAAGAAGGCAGCAGAGATGTTTAGCTTATTAGCCTTTAAGGATGAAAAATTTTATTGGCATATAGAGGCATTGAAAATTAGGTTTATCATTACTTTTTTCCTTTGAATTTCCTAACCTGTGTGGATTCAAAGAAAGCCTGTTAACATACTTGCATTGTAAGAGTATTCAAGTAAGTTTTACTAATTCTACATCCCCTGTCAGCAGGGTACAATAAGCTGACCAACACTTCATGCAAGCTTAATTCAATACATAAATTCAGACAGTTTTGCAGGTTACTTGATGGTTTTCAATTATAAGTAAGCATTAAAGAAGTGTATATATTAGTCTTTTACATGGACTAATCCCCAAGTAGTGTAAATATTGAGTGCTAGGGGTTTGTTTTGGCAGTGGTTTGTTGGGTTTTTTTTAATACAGTCATGAGTAAATGTTCTAAATGATCTGTGTGTTTACAAAGTAAATGGCTGCTGTGCACTAGGAAAAAATAATTGGAAAAGAATGTTAATTATTTCAAAAACTCAATACGTCAGATGCTGTGTAAGTAAGTTTTGACTCCATAATTGTGGTGTATTGTGTTACCGAGTTTTATATTGCTGACTACTTTTTTTGCTTATCACTCACTAAAAGGTGACTGTAATAGACATGTGAAGATTGACTAATTCTACATATGCAAATGTAGTTTAGGTGATTTAAATTCTGTCCATTTTTTTGTCTTTTCCTATTTATTTAGCTTAAAAGGTGACTTGGCATACAACTATAGAGGACCTAGAACAAAAGATGATATAATTGAATTTGCTAATAGAGTAGCAGGGTAAGTATGCTCTCCTGTGAGCCTGGTTCTGATGGCTTAAAACTTACATAGAATTTTGAGATGAACCAAGAATTAAATCTGTTTATAAAAGAACAAGGTATTAACATGAAGTTAAAAGCTGTATGTACTGTATGTGTGGCTGCATGTGAGGCTGGTGGTGAGTGGTGTGGAGAAAGTACACAGAGACTGGCTACTTGTAGTGCAAGAACAAAAGGGTTTTCAAAGTAGTGGAAACTATGAACAAATGAAACTCAGAGAAGTCAGAAATGAGAATATCAGTCTAAATGCTGGCTGATGTATAGACATCATTGCTAAAGTAGAAACTGTTTAATACTCAGAAGTTGTGCATGTGAAAAGTTGCAGCTATAGGCAACATAAGGAAATGCTTTACAGAATTGTTCATAGCAATTTCTGGTGGCTTTTTCCTCCTGCCCTACAGTGACAAGTAATCTTTGGGGAGAAAAAAAAGTCACATTGTTTTCCTTCATTCTTAAATATAATTAAGAAGCCTTGATACAGGTACAGTAATACTCGCTGTTGTTCAGATCTGTAGTTTAGGAATATCGTGTGTTCAGAATCTTTTTAGGATTATTTGTTTCTAAGATCACATTTCCAAACTGCTGTGCTTACATTCAAAATTTTATCTCTCAAGTGACTGAGACCTTATTGTGGCCTTTCACTATATAAAGAGGTCTTGTAAAAATGATGGAGGGAGACTTTTTATCAGGGTTTGTACTGACAGGATAAGGGGCAATGGTTGTAACCAGAAAGAGGATAGACATAGATTAAACTTTAGGAAAAAAGTCTTTAGTGTGAGGGTAGTAAAACACTGGAACAGAGAACTTGTGGATGCTCCATCCCTGGAAGTGTTTAAGGCCATCTTGGGTGGCACTTTGAGCAGCCTGGTCTAGTGGAATGTGTCCCCTGCCCATAGTGGGAGGCTTGGACCAGATGATCTTTAAGGTCCCTTCTAGTCCAGCCCCAGCTGTGGTTCTGTGACCAGTAAATGGCATGTGTGTTTACATTGTTGCACCATTGTACTAAGATATTAATTGCAAATTTAAGTGTGCTATTTGTGGAACATAACACCTTATTTTGGGGGGGACTTTTCATTTGCGTTTTTTAAAAATTTTATTTTACTTGAAAAATAACAAATTGAAAAATTACATTAATTTGCATTGTGCAATTTAGTTTTAAATAAAAAACCAACACAAATCTGTATGACATTTTCTTGTGGATTTTTTTTATTTGTTTGGGTTTTGCAGGTTGCAAACACTAAGATATTTTTTTTCTTTTTCCCTTGCAGACCTCTTATCAGGCCACTTCCTAGCCAGCATATGTTTGAGCATGTGCAAAAGAGACATCGTGTACTATTTGTGTATGTTGGTGGTGAATCTCCTTTAAAGGTTTGAAGCTTGATTAAATAAAGTTACTTCTTTTGGCTATTCACAGATATAAATGTCTTCTAAAAGACTGAAGTGCATGCTTGTAACAAATTATTTTTTTAAAATTTATTGAAGTTCTTTCACAATCTTGTAGACATAATCATATTTTCTAATTTCCCTTTGAAGATAAGGTATGTCACAAAACTTTTGTTTGACTCGTACTAAAAGTTCAGAAATTAAACAGCATCGTTTGTATTTTTGCAGGAAAAATACATTGAAGTTGCTTCAGAACTAATCGTTTATACGTACTTTTTTTCTGCCTCAGAAGATGTGCTGCCTGAGGTAAGCTATTTCCAGTCCTGCTATTTCCACAGAAATGGCGTTGTGCTGATATATTTTATTTTGCAGTTTTAATGGCACAGACCTAGCTTCTTACAGTATATTTGGCTTTGGTAGATTTCAAAATAATTACAGTGAAACATTACATTTCTGAGTCTATGGGGAATGCATACAAACGAAGTTTCAGTCTGTCATTGCTTTGTTTTGGCCAAATTACTTGTTCGGTCATACTAATTAAATTAATCAGATATGCAGACCTCAACATGGACCATACAGCCAGCTTAAGAAAGCAGATACTTGATTTTTAGCCAGTGCAAAACTCTTGTTGCTTGCGACAGTCCTTTTGCCAACTGCTTTTATAGTTAATCTGGGGGTCTGTGGCATGGAGTGCTGCTGGTATCCTAGTAATCAGAAATAAGTTAACAGGTAAGTTGTTTTCATCTTGTGCAACACAGATAACCAAAACATTAGTCTGCCCAGGGATCAAACCAATCCAGTGTAGTGGCTGCAGAGTTCTCATGTGGCTCTTCCAAGACTTTTGGAAAAAGGAAATTGTTTACAGTTAGTCACAAGGACAAAAAAAGTTGGTTCAGCTGTTGTTAGGCTAACCATTGTTGCTTACCTGTTGAAACAGGTGAGAGGCTTTTTCATTTATTGTTATCTCCAAGTGAGACCTAAATCTACTCCATGCCTGATAACTCATGGCTTTGAAATTAGGTTAGCAGGGTAAGAACTAGCATAATTTCTTTTTCTTAGGCATCTGCGTTTTCCAACATCATAAGTAGAATTGTCCTGCTTATAAATAATGTATTGTTAGATTTCCAGAAGGCTTGTATCAAAAGCCACCTTCATTTGAATAGTGCTATTTGCACTTTAGCCCCAGCTGAGCAAGAAAAGTACTGTTCAGTTGTGCAGTGGAAAAAGTGTAAAAGTCTTTGAGATTCTATGATCACATTGATGTAAGCAGTGAGCTGTTTTCCCCCACAGAATGTAATTTCCCACCAATGTTGTTTAAGCTGAAGCAGTGGTGGTATGCAATAATCTATGGAGAGAAATGAAAATGTTATGAAATTACTGTTTTCTAGTTCTAATGAGCCTTTGTATTACGGTGTTCACTGTTAGAGTTTGTTTTTTCACCTTAGGGAGTATTGTTCCAAGCTGTGTGCAGCTTGATTTGCCCTTTAAAGATGCTAAACTATGTTTTGGGCAAATAAGACAAAGTGTCATCTAGAATTACCACTTTCCTCCTCATTCATATGATCTGTTACATTGGAAACCTACTGCCTTTATGTTTATTTCCAAGATGATGCAGAATGATAACAAAATCCTTGTGGTCTGGAAATGATGCTGTTCCTGCCTTTCCAAAACACATCAGTAAATTAGGCAATTCAGCCAACATCATCAAAACTAAGCTCCTGATACAGTCGTTTCTTAACCTGAAATGCTGTTAGAATTTTAACTTAGAATGGTAGCTAGCAGTAAAAGTAGAACCAGTATTTTGTCTATGGCAGGTCACCAAAACATGAGCTGAGTAAATTTTTTTAGTTCCAAGGAGGTTTCTACAACTCTGGCTTGGCTTTTTTTTCGTGTGCTGCTGACCATCCTAAATATCATGTTTAACATGGTGATGCAGCTTTCATTGTTCTGTTTGCCTAAATTAGGTCTATTTGCAGCCCTGTTTGCAATAGCCCAGATTTAGTGGGACATGTTAGCAATGTTACTATTTCACTCTACAGTAATGACTGGCCATTTAGTAGAAGCAGTGATGTGACAGGTATGCTGATAACAGCACAAATTTGGAACAGAGAGCATGACTGATAAAACCCTCAAGTTACGATCTCCTATCTAAAGTTCTTGTCCAACCCGTAAAATATTCTTCATGCTGCAGATGCTAGTAAAAATCCTGTTTCATTTATACTTCGTGAGATTTGTCTATGAAAAATACATTCACATTGTGCTACTTTTCATATGCAGAGGCTGATAAATTTTTTTTAGTAAAAGTAGACAGAAAATATTTAAATGTACTTAAGAGATTTTCCCTATGGACTACATTTCCATGTTTGCAGATTTTTTTTTTTTGTCAATTTAAAAATCTTTTCCTCTTCTATGGATTAATTGAAAACAAACTCTTTCAGTATGTGACATTACCTGAATTGCCTGCTGTTATGGTCTTCAAAGATGGAACTTACTTTGTTTATGATGGTAAGTAAAAGTGGATGTTACTTTAAGCCAAGTTACTTAAAGTATATATGGAGAAACTGGAAGAGTTGGGATTTTTTGGAAGGTTATGTTGGGATGCTGGGAAATTCACCACTTTTGGGATAAATAGCAGCTCCTTCATGAAGAAGAGAAAAAATAATTAGTTCTTATACAACAAAATGCAAGGAATTTGTTTTACCAATACTGAAGTAAATGTGATGATGTTTGCATTGTGTTGTCAGTAAGATGTAGCTTCCAATATTCGTGTTTTGCTGGCATTAATATACTTATGAAAGTTGCTCCTTCCCTCACTGTCCAAATTTGTCATATACAAAATAGAAGGAAACTTACGGAAGAGGAATCACACATAAGATGAATTTACAGTTTCAAACAGTTACTAAGATTTTCTCTAAGTGGGAAAATCTTAAAGAAAAGTTATCTTCTCTCTTGAAGTTAACATCTGCTGTTGATATAAAATGTGTATATCCATGTATATGGATTTCCATATATAAGTGTTAGGTTATACTCAGACTTTACTGTAAGGCCTGTGCATTATAGCCTGTTAGATGCACCTGCACACACATACTTAAATTGCATGTCATGGACTGTCTTAAAAATACCTGTTTACAAAAAGCATGTACTCTTTATTTGGATTGTTTCAGATGCAAGTTTTTACTTTTAAATTGAAAACATATTGCTCAGAAGCTTATTCTGCAGTTTTAATTTCTGAGTACCACAGCAAAATACTCCAGATTGGCTATCAAATACACTTCTCTGACTTCATAGAATGGCTGTACTTCCTCATCAGTCTGTTGTCTCCAGATAACAATTCAAGCTACAGCCTCCTTGATTTGCATTTAAAATTTTATTTTTTTTTTATAATGATCCTGGAGAAGGAAAGCTTGTCAGAGAAAAGCCTCTGAATTGCCAATTGCTGTGTGGGCTATTTGCTTTTTCCGCACCTTTTAAGACAAATGTGAAACTTGTAATAATCCAAGCTTTATTTACACTTTCATAATGTACCAGAAAGTCAAATTACAAAGATGCAGTTCAAGAGACTGAATAAGGTTATATGTGCAACTGTTATGATTGAGCTTACTATAATAAAAAGTTCTAGCAAAGTCCATAGTGGAGTAAATTGATGCATATCTATGGGAAGCATTATGGTTGGAAGTGCTTGCTACTGTGCTAGGGCAAATAATTGTTCACCTAAAGTTATTGATAACTCACTCTATACAATAGAGTTTAATACAAATTTATTGTGCATTTATGTACATAATATGCTTCATATGTTTATTTTTATTTTTTAGTTGGGATTAAGATCTAATTGGTGGTATGTGTTAGAATTTGATTTGTTACGAGTTAAACCATCTAGCATCTGAAACCTTCAGTTTAACTGATTCTGAGTCATACATAATTATTTGTTCGGTTACATTCACGATGCTGTTAAAGCATCTACTTTTTCTAGATTTCCTTCTGTTTTCGTTTAAGGACTCACAAATAACTGCTTTCTGTTTTTTATTTCTCTTTACTTGGTTTGAAACTTGCTCATTTAACACGCACACCCCCCCCTTTAAAACAGGGTTTGAAACTGCGTTTCTGCACTGGGTCAGAGTTAACTTCTGATATGGTACTGTTTATCCTTGATTTGGGAAAAGAAAAAATCATCAAATCAGCTTTTCATGCTTTTCTATAATGCACTTTCTGCTCAACAATTGAAAATAACTTTAAAGGTCTTAAAACTGAAATGTCCAGAAATGTATGATAACTTGTCTAACAAGAATATATGGAAAAAAGGAGACAAAGTAGTGTTTGCCTCTATAGTATTGAAATAGTAAATGTAATGGCCTTAAAAAAATGAAATGCATTCTTTTTTTTCTTTTTTTCTGTTTGTTTGTTAGAATATGAAGATGGTGATTTGTCCTCCTGGATCAACAGAGAAAGATTTCAAGGTTACCTTCATGTAGATGGCTTTACACTATATGAACTTGGAGATACAGGTGAGATGCTGCTACCACCAAACTCTTTGACATCTTGTGTACTAAATAAACAGTAAGAAAAATTGAAAGAGTACTAAGAATGTGGTTTTTTCAAACCTCAGAAGTTAATCAATCTCAGAGTTAGAGTTGATAGTGCCAGTCTTCTGTTGATGTTGGTGAGAGCTGTTCTATTGACTACAGGCTTCATCCACAGCTTGCACTAGTCCTTTCCTCACAACATAAAATTTAGTGTGCCTAATCCTGTAGTATTCACAAAAATTAGCAAACTTTTAATTTAAGAGCACTTTAGGTTTTGTATAAGTTGCATATTAACTCTTGGAATACCTGCAGGAAATTTTATGACTAGATTTAGAAATATCAAATATGGATATGTTTTGATGTCTTATATCTAATGGATTTAGATATCTTTAAAATAGATATGATAAGGGAGGGAGGGGAGCATATACTGAAGTGGACTTATCCCAGAAAGCTTTAGCTTTTCTCTAGTACTAAAATATTTTGCAGGCCAAATGAGTTTTGCAGCTTCTGAAATGTACAAATGACCTGTACTGCTTTTAAGGTATACATACTCCAAAGTATCAGAAAAAATGCTTTAAGTGTTAAATTTTCCAGTCCAGGATACCTTATCACCTGTGTTCCATTTCAAAGTATTTGTATTCAATCAACATTCAGTTCTTTCAGGTTTTAAAGATTAGGAAACAACTAGGTTCTTACATGTTCATAAAGCTAATACTGTTACACCTACATTTTAAACAGTTATTTACAGAAGTGTCATTGCAAGTTGTTTAAATGTAGCATACTTCTTCCTGTTACATTTTTGTCTAACAATTCCTCGAATTTTACTTTATTGATGCAAGGAAGAAGCCAACATTTACTTTCAAGAACTTTATGTATAAATGCACAGTACCTGTTAATTCATTTGTGATCTTTTGCAGTCTAAAAGGTTATTGTCTCTTAGTGTATTCACTAGGTAGTGTCTTAGGGTATAGAATGAAATGGGGGAAAGTGAGAATTGAGGTATGGAAGAGTGGGATGGAGAGAAGCTATTGCTATTTTACAAGAAAGCCTGCTAATGAATCATAGTTCTTGCCCTTAAAACTCTTCAGTATTACTTGAAGAGTGACTTTTTTTTTTTTTTTGGAGGGGAATGTGTCCTGTAGCATGCTGATAGGTAGGAATTGTGCAGTAGGTTGGCTTGGAGGGGAGGGTTTTGAGTGAATCATATCTGGAGTGACTCAACAAATCTGCACTCTGGAGGCTTTAGTTAATCCAGCTGATGACTGCACTGTTAATAGATCTGCTTCCCTCACAGGAAGTACTTGATCTGGAGAACCTTTGGCCAGCTTTCTAAACAGGCTTTGATCTGGTTCACCTTAAGTCTTTGGGAGTTTTTTCCTTTTAATCAGAAAAACTTCACAAAGCATATCCTGAAAATAGCAGTATCTTCTGGTGTTTGGTCTTTAGGCTCCTCTAACAGCTGAATTGTTTTTTCTGATGTAAAAAATTCTGGGCTCTGCCAGTAAATTTTGCAAGTTTTTTGTTCCCCATAATACTCCAAATTTTCCACAGTGTCAAAAGTAGTCATTACTGAATCCATACAACAGTGATTCAGTCACTTAGAATCAGATTGTATTTGTCATTATATAATAGAGATATCCATAGCCTCATATTTAGGTATACTCAAATATGAATGTTGAGCAGGGAATTAATTTTTAGCTTTTTTTTTTCCCTTTTAAGTTCTTTCTATAGATAGGCTTTTCATAGAATGCTAGTGATGTGGTGTTAAGCCACATCTTAATTTATTTTCAGTAGCTTTAAGAAAACCACAGTTTGGTCAGCTTGAGTAGGCTCTTTGGCTTTGAGATTGGTTCATACTTGAAAACTAATTCCTGTTCCTGGAGAGTATCTGATCTTCTAAGTTGGAGTATTTTCCATCTGAGAATGTGTGTTGCTTTTTAAATGGTTTCAAGAATTTTATTCCTTATTTTAGGAAAACTTGTGGCTATTGCAGTCATTGATGATAAAAACTCTTCAGTGGAACATACCAGGTACAGAATTGAGTATTGGTGACACTATGGGAGATATGTGCTGGTATGACATAGGGAACTTTGGAAGTTTCTTAAATATCAGGAAATGGCTAGGTTAAAAGAGTGGTTTTAAGTTGCAAATGTTAATGAATTTCTGACTTCAGTGTACTGAATTTACTTAATTTATGGCTCCGTTGAGGCACACATGAGTTCAATGAGATGATGGAGTTTCTGTACCACTCTTCTTCCATTTGTTAATGAGATCACAGGAGCAAACGGTGATCTCATAGCTTTTAAAAGCTATTGTGTCACCTTTTAAACAGACGAGAGTACTTGACTTCAGATGACTTTCAGATGAACTTAGAAAGTTTAAACAAATGACTGTACTTCAGCTCACTTACATTAAAATTAATTTAGTGATGCTTATATATTAGTTGTCTGTGGAACTTTTAGGAAGGGGTGTTTTCACTGGGGTTGCAGTTTGCTGAAGAGACTGAGAGGAACAAGTCCTTCCCCTGTCCCTTTCTGGTTGCATGCATAATTAGGCTAAGAAAATACTGTTCAAGTACTGTGTAGGCTATTTTCAACCTTTAGGAACCAAGCAAGATGAACAAGATGGTTTTTGTTAATCCTTATTGCTGATGAGGTGCAGTTTTCTGCATACTGGGGAAATCTCAATGTTTATTGTTTGTATTTTGAAAGAGTATATCCTGGATTATCAATGTCTCTTTTTTTCCCCTCCAGACTAAAGTCTATTATTCAGGAAGTCGCTAGAGATTATCGGGATCACTTTCACAGGTAGGCGTACATGGTACTCTGATATCTTAAATGAACCTCTGGACTAACTTTTCTAAGAGCAGTAATTTTTTCTATATGAAAAAATATTATAGAGCCTGCTTTTATATTCATATACTGATATTTAATAAGACCATGCCATTAACTGAGTATAGTTTGTCATGCTGACTGTTTTCTAGATCATCACTTTTTTGAATTACATTGCTGTGCTCTCAGTTTTGGTTATAGGAAAAATATTGAAAGAACTATTGCTGGAACCCACTATTGTTTTTTATTTTTCATTGTTCTATTTTTCACTACTTCTTTTACAGGGATTTCCAGTTTGGCCATATGGATGGAAATGATTACATTAATAGTTTACTAATGGAGTAAGTAAATTCTCATTTGAATATTCTTTCTTCTCTTGTATTTGTTGCTGAGTATATTTATTTGAAAACAATCTTTTGAAGATTTCCTGGCTTTTGTGGCTTCAAAAAAAAATCACTGTCCTCAGAATTCAGCATGTAACATAGTATCAGTTGTTGTAATTAAACTGCATAATTAAATGTTTAAACTTTGGCTTACCGATAATGCTGGTTGACAAAGCTTATCTTTTAAGTCTAATTTATTAAAATAATAACTGTTAGAATTGTGGGGGTTTCATTCTTGATGCCTTTTTAAGACATGCATAGAAGTATGTGTCTGCAGAGAAGCAGCATAAAATGCATGGAAGATGCTGTCTGCACTTGATATGTACATGGTACATTTTGAAATAGATAAGTGGTTTAACAAGATGCTTGACAGTTGCCCTTAGTATGATCCTGGTCTAAAAAATGCATAATTAGAGAGTTTTAAGTTGCCTGGCATTTGCAGTTGACTACTTGTTCTCCTCTGGCCTTTGGAGTGAAAGAAGGAAAAACCAGGGATCAATATGCCATCTCTGTAAGTTTTCCAAGTCCCTTTCTTGGGGATTAAAGAATTAATAAAGCATGTGTTCATGCCCCTAAAGGTTCTAGGAGCTTCGTGGGGACCCAGGAGGCACAAGGTCTGTATTTCTGTAGAATGTCTGTAGATTAACACCTGAATACAATGAATTTAAAAACAGCTGTCTCTCAATCGAAGTTAAGTGATGTGATTGATCTAGTGCTTTATAGTTGCCAAAAGTGAGGCCTCCCTCACTCCATTAATTGCTTCTCCTGTGCAGGGTCTTACATCTAACTGTCTGCTGAGCTGTTTCAGCCTGTTTATCTGACAGAAAAGTGTTTGCTTTTTTGTCTAGGCAAGTAGGGAACTTAGTTTGCTGATTCAACAAAACCCTTAATCATCTTCTCTTCTACTCTGCTGGGTGCCAGAACTGATGGGCAAAGAAGTAGGGGAGGGAGATGATATTTCTGAGAGGAAGGAAATGAAGGGAAAGAAGACTGAAAAAACATTTAGAGTGACAGTGATCTAGTGGCAAGATCTGTTCAGCTGGGTTGTTTAACTTAATCTGCAAAACGCCTAATTTTATAATTTGTAGTATATGGGAAGTTGTTTTTCAAGTACTTACAGGATTTTAATTATTTTCTAAACAGAGTGTTTACATTTCAAGCATAGGTGGAAAGCAGCAAAAGAAAGCTGCAAATTATGTTCAGTGTTACAAGTAGCTGCTCTTCATGTGGCTACGTGGGTAATTCGAGTAAAACCCTATTGCAAGTGCTTCATATTGTCACCAGATGGCAGCAAGTGGAAGCAGAAAAAGTCTTCTGAATAGTGAGAAATAGTCGTGGTTTCACCCCAGCCAGCAGCCAAGAACCACGCAGCCACTCACACACTCCCCCACCTATGGGATGGGAGAGAGAATTGAAAGGGTAAAAGCTAGAAAAGCTCATGGGTTGAGATAAAGACAGTTTAACAGGGAAAGCAAAAGGCACATACACAAGCAAAGCAAAACAAGGAATTAATTCACTGCTTCCCATGGGCAGGAGGTGTTCAACCATCTCCAGGAGAGCAGGGCCCCATCACACATAACAGTTTCTTGGGAAGACAAATGCCATCACTCCAGATGTCCCCTCTTCCTCCTTCTTTCTCCCACCTTATATTCTGTGCATGGTGTCATATGGTATGGATTATCCCTTTGGTCAGTTTGGGTCGCCTGTCTTGACTGTGTCTCCTTCCAGTCTGCCATGCACCCCCAACTTCTTTGTCAGCGTGGCAGTACGGAAAATAGCAAAGGTCTTGGTTCTGTGTAAGCTCTGCTCAGCAAAACCAAAAACATCTCTACGTTATCAACTCTGTGTTCTGCAAACATCCTAAACATAGCCCCATACTAGCCACTGTGAAGAAAGTTAACTCTACTTCAGCCCAAACCAGCACAGAGATCTATCACAGCACTGTTTTACTGTGCCAGGTGCACATAGGAACAAATTCGGTTTCTTTACAAAGGACAAAATATTATATGATTTGTGGGGATAGGGTTAGTAGGCATAGGATAGAAGTGCATTTATGAACTTGGTTATAATTCCACTAGTAGGCATTATAGTTTTTCTGCCTTTTCATCAGTGGATGAACATGCTTTTGTTGGATTAGGAATGGTATGGTTATAACTATGCAGAAAAGAAGAAAATAGAATATTACGTATTTTACTGAAAGGGAAGATACAGCTTTGTGTAAGCTAAGGTGTATAACTATAGCTGTATGTAGAGTATTAATTCCTCAGCTCTCAGAAGAAATGTAAAGTGTGATTTTATGAAATCTCTGTATAGCATGGAGTTTATCTTTCAGCTGTTCTACAGCCAACTCCAAGAACCTCAGTTACTCGACTGTTAAATGCAATAGAAGCCCTGTTTTTTGGTGTGTGAGAATTGGGAATCTTTTAGCATCCAAGTAATAAAACTTGTTCTGTTTTGTCTGGGGTGATGTATTTTGGCAGAGATTGGTAACTTGTTACCAGGTACTTGCAAAAACACTTGACTTGGTTTGAGTGCCTTCTACTTCTATTTCTTGTTTGTTCCTAATAAACAGAGAATAAAAATGTCCAGGGAAAAGATTGTATTTAGAGACTCTTACATTGCAGGTGATCTCTCTGGACAAAGTTTATGTTGTTTGTTGGGTTTTTTTAAAGTTTCACTTTAAGGATGATGTTATTTTTATGTCTCTCCAGTTTCCCTTACATTTTCTGAGGTGCCACCATGCTTTCACCTTGACTACTGGGAACATGGTCTGCACCTTAAGTCTTGCAGTATTCAGCTTTCTAGAATTGTAGAAAATTTTCATGTATAAGTATTGTCTTTCAGTTTCAGGTTTGGATCTGAATTTAAACTTTAAAAAACTCCACCTAAACTGTGAGAAAATTTAGAATAATTTCAGCAGCTTTGCAGAAAAATGGGAATCTTGAGGAAATGCTAAACAATATTTCCATGAAACAATTTACTATGGATTATTAGCACAGTGAAGGCTGAAATCCTCACCAATATTACATGGATTACAAATGGACAAGGATGGGGCACTATTAGACAAGAGTGAAATTGTAAGAGGAAAAAAAGATTCAAATTGCTTCTACTGTGAAGGAAAGCCACCTTCTACTTGAATTAATTATTGACAGAATTGCAGAAAATTGAGGGACTGCAGGAGATTTTTAGCCATACTTAATGTATTTTTAAATCTTTCGTGTTGAACAGTGTACTTGTGCAGTATTAAAATTTCCTAAACCTGACCTAATTTGGAATTTAGCACTACATGCAACAGAAAATTAAACTGGTTTGTGTCTAGAGATAATTTCTAACCTTTTTTTTTTTTCAGTTCTGTGATACCAAGCAAGTGAAGGGTCAACTGCTAAGCAATAAAGCAATAATTCTTTAAAACCTCTGTAGCTCATCTGCCTTGTCTAAAAGAGATTTAGAAACACTTCGGTATGGCTTATTCTTTTGACTTGACAGGTAGAGGTTGATTGATAGAGCTGATCAGTTGGAGCATGGTTGTATGGAATTGCATTTTTTAGTGCACAAAGGCAAAAGTATAATTAAAACACTTAATACGTGTCATGTACAAGGCTATTATCTCATCTCTTACTAATTGGCAAGTCATAAGGTACCTGATTTGCAGTCAGTGTGGGTATGTCAAATGCAAAAACCTTCAATAGGTGACACAGATGTGAAAGAGAAATTATTAATGAGAAACACGTTTGTACCATTCAGGTGATTCTCTTCCCCCATCCCTCTTGTCTTTAAGGAGCTGCTATGAAGAACACACATGAAGTGAAGATTAATGGATACTCTTTTAAATGATGTAGGAATTGCTTGGATTGCATTATTTTACATGGTAGTTCTTTTAAATGTATAAACTGTGTGTTTTATGTTTCCAGTGACTTGACAATCCCAACTATTGTTGTATTGAACACCTCCAATCAGCAGTATTTTCTACCAGATAAGCACATTGAGAGCACAGAAGACATGGTTCAGTTTATTAACAATATCTTGGATGGTACAGCTGAAGTAAGTCTTCATTGTGACTTGGAATATGCTGGGTGGTTTTGTTTTCCTTAGATACTAAAGTAGGGAAAATTTTGATTACTCTGTTATAATGTGTGTTTTGTGTTCCTGTCCCATCTATCTTACTGTCTTTGATGACACTGAATATGTGATTATGAATTCTTGGCTTGTGCTGTTGCTTGTTCTGACTGCAGAACCTCTTCTAGAAAGCAAGCTTTATTTTTGTTTATAGCATAATGTTAGCTGATTTCTGATATTCCTTCTACTGGTAAGCAGAGCTTTTTAATAATCTCCTGGTTTACATTAAGTACATTTGTTTAAAATTTTGATTATAGTGCATAGTTCAACTGTACCCTTTATTTTGTGTGGTAAATTAATAAATCCAATAGCTGGATGAATGAAAAGTTCAGATTTCAAAAAGCAGTGGTATTCTTGCTTTCCGCATTAGAAGTGGACACAAGCTTACTCTTCTCTGCTCTAAAACTAAAAAAGAGCTGTCTTTTGTTAAAGCAACAGAGTTAATAAATCCATCTGGAATTGGTGGCTTGAATAATTTTTAAATATTGGCAAAACAAACTCAAGTTTGCTTATTTCGTCAGTGGATAGAAGGTTGTGTTGTGTGGGTGAGGAAAGAGATTGTGGATCAGAGCTTTCATTTGTTCTTGTGGGAGAAGAGTTACAGAATCATAGAATCAGCCGGGTTGGAAAAGACCTCCAAGATCGAGTCCAGCCCTACCATGGTTGCTAGACCATGGCACTAAGTGCCACATCCAGTCTCATCTTGAAAACCTCCAGGGATGGTGAACCCACCACCTCCCCGGGCAGCCCATTCCAATCCCTGCTACTCTCTCCATAAAAAATCTGTTCCTGATATCCAACCTAAACCTCCCCTGGCAGAGCTTGAGTCTGTGCCCTCTTGTCCTCCTGCTGGTTGCCTGGGAGAAGAGACCAACCCCCACCTGACTCCAACCTCCTTTCAGGGAGTTGTAGAGGGTGATAAGGTCTCCCCTGAGCCTCCTCTTCTCCAGGCTAAATAATCCCAGCTCCCTCAGCCTCTCCTCATAGCACTTGTGCTTGAGTCCCTTCACCAGCCTCGTTGCTCTTCTCTGGACCTGCTCCAGAAGAGCGCGCTGACACAACAGGGAGTAGTGCTAACAAATAATTTTTCTGCCTCCTAGGAGAAGCCCGTGTTGGTTTAAGCCCCAATTCACTGTATGTTGAATGCTTACTGTGTTAGCTAAATCCCACTTTACACCAGCAGTTTTAAGTCATTGGGTGTTAATAGCAAGTAGTGCTGAACATCATTTCATTCATTTGGGGTACTTTGGTTTAATGCATCTGAAAAATTGATGTGGCAACAATACAGATGGATTTATTTGCTGTTCATTACTTTACTGGCCATGCTTCCAGTTGCAGTGTGAGGGGTGTTGTGATAATTTATTTAGCAGTTCTTTGTTCTTCAATTCTCAATTTTTGTAATGCTTTGTTAATTGCATTGAATTATGTTACCAACATCCATTAGAATCTATTTGAATATATCCTTCTGGTTGAAATAACAAATACAATTGGTTTCTTTCTGGTTTTTAACTTTGAGGGAATTAATTTGTGATGCCTTGTGTTTGTTGCCCTAGTCACTTAGGTCTTTCTAACTTTTGTTTGCAGTATTTCAGCTAGAATGATTAAAGGTCAGTCGAAATTCACATCTCTGTACAAGACAGGCAATACAGGCTGTGACTTCATTTAAGTTGTCTATATTTAAATTCTCTATAGACATAAAATGGAACTACTTTGGCCATGTTCTTTGCCCCAGAAATTGTGCATCTGTTGAGGAGTGACAGTCTCCAAAGTGTGCTGATAAACAACTAGTGGGATGCAGACTTTCTGAACCACAGAGAAATTTCTGAGAAGTCTCACATTGGGTTCTTCCTTTCCTTGGGAAGTGGTAGATCATTCACCTTGACTTCATTGTTATTTTCTCTAAGGCCCTATAGGTAACTTCGTGTGAATCTGTTTCATCTTTGTGGACATTTTGCTATTTGAGGGGTTTTAGTCAGGTCAGGTGCTGATCATTTGACTTCCAAAATGAGAGTTTATTTCTCTGGCAACTCAGTACAGGTGAAAACTAGTTCTGTTCAACAGACAGATTGCCTTCAAATTCATGTAGCTGTTTTGAACACTGCTAAATTAGATGGCAGTGTAGGTACAGTCCTTCATTACTTGACACAAGTTTTATGTATTGCATATCTTCTTTTTGCTTAGATCTTAGACTTTTTCCAACTGCACTGTCGTAGTCCATGCTGTAGGAAAGTTCAGAAGATCTCTGCAGTTTTATCATTGTTGCATCAGGACAGTTGGTAGTTTCGGTTGGTGTTCCTTTATGGCAGGAGAGTGCCTGCCCACTGCTCAAGTTGGCACTGATTGTTTGAAACAATTGTGTGGGAGTTTTTCATGAGACTATTGAAAAATGTTTATCCAGGCTTGAGATGTTGGAGTGTCTGGGCATCATGAGATGCAAGAATAATTACTTTTCATTTCCTTCTAAAGGGACTTAAGATTGCAAGGTCTGAAGAATGAACTTTTGGAATCATAACTGAAAAGTGTCAGCAGTTTTGACATAGTTCCATTTGAAATTTTCAGGCACAGGGTGGTGATGGACTTCTGCAGCGAATCAAGAGAATAATCTATGATGCCAAGTCTACCATAGTGGTAAGTTTTATTTTTCATTAAATTAGATGGTACCCTTGTCAGTCAGGATACAAATATTTTCATATTCCATACATCATGTATATATTACAGGTATATGTATATTAGGTTTAAGCCAAATGAACTTCTTGATAAAAGTTAATAATATATGTGATAAACATTTAACATATGTTTTTACATTTTTCACTTCTTTGCTGTATGTCTGACATCTGTTTTAAGGCATAGAACAAAGAGAGTTCAACATCTTTTCCTTGACCCTTTAGATGTCCTTTCCCGAAACTGATAGCATTTCCATATTCTGAGACATGTTACAGTTTTGGTCGAATTAGTCAGAGCGTAGGGGGATTAAATGCTACACTTCGTGTCATTTCAAAGCAAGTATTTTTATCATCTTTCTTACAGGTTAATTATATTTAACAAAATCTTGTTGGGAAGATGTACACAAATCCATTTCTTCACTTGTTCTACACAACTGTCCTACTTGTGCTGTGCATTTAAATTGAAACTCACATGTTTCTTTATGAGTAGCTTCCAAACTTCTCTGAATGTACAACATTTAGCCATAGGTTTCTGAAACCATAAATCCTTCTTCCTGTGTCATTAGCTGTACTCTTCAAAAGAAAGCTGTCTAGTCACAGAATGTTTCTGTAGTTCTTTATTATTCAGACTAATTTTTGAAAATGAGACAGAAATGAGATGAAACTGATTGCTTCAAAGCATTTTTAAAATACTGTTAGAACAATTGCATCTAAAGCTTCAAATAATGCATCAGATATGCAGTTGGCATGTTAACATGAACAATCCCAGTGCAATATTGTAATCTTTGAACTTTGCTAAGTCTCTTTTTTTATGAACTTAAGAGTAGGAATTGTTGAAGTTGAGGACTCCTTGTCCTTTTTGCAGGGAAAAAACCCCAAGCCAAACAGCCTCCCTGCAAAAAAACCCAAAACAATTAACCAAAGCAGCAACAACAACAAAAACCCCAAACAAGCAAACAGAAGAAAACCAATAAACTCCTCCATCTCCCTAAAAAAGCCCTGACTCTGTAATTTTGGATCTTTCTGGCTAAATACTCAGAGTAATAAAGAAGTAACACAGTAACTTTATATATTCACTGAGAGTGATTTTTACTTCAAATTTCTGTTTCAACAGTCTGTGTTCAAGAGTTCACCACTGCTGGGATGCTTTCTCTTTGGGTTGCCCCTGGGGGTCATCAGCATTATGTGTTACGGGATCTGCACAGCTGATACAGATGGAGAGGTGTTGGAGTATGAGGGAGCTAAAAAGGAAAGTGGTGATCGGGAGCTCACAGACGAAGGCAGTGAGGAAGAACAAGAGGAGGAAAAAAATGGAAAATATACAGAACTTTCAGATGGAGAGCTTAAACAGAAAGACATAATGGAAAAGAAGAAAGACTAACTTTGTTTAGCAAACGAATTCTCTAGAATTTCCCAATAGACTTACTTATTGAAGATTGTCATTTATTGATGATCTTCATGAAAGAGGACCGTTTTGTCTGCGTTATGGTAGTTTTGGTTTGCATGTATTCAAATTTTCTCAGAAATTGACAGGAAAAAAGTGGATGTTCTCTTAATTGTCTTTGATTGATTAACAAAGAACAATTTAAACAGAAGAAATTTGCAGGTACAATTCTACATCATCTTTGGAAGAGTTTTGAATTGTTCATTTCTGGAACAGTGAGATAATATTACTTGAACTCCCTGTATGTGATGAACTACTACTAATATAGCCCAGCTAAGCACTCATTCATACAAAATGAAGACTGAAAACTGAGAAAGGTTAAAAGACCTGTAAGGTCTTTCAGAACCTGATAGCTAAAGATAATTTTAGAGTTTTCCAAGAAGTCATGTGTTTTACCTGTTGCAGATTATTGTGGATAAAAACCCAAAACCAACAAACCTTTCTGTTTCTCAAATTTCTGTTTTCTCAGATTTCTGTTTTCTCAAATTTCTAGGAATTGGAGGACAATTATACCTTGTAATAATACAATTATGGGCAGTCAAGAATGTTTGCTTCATACTGGATGGGGCAGTTATATGCTAAGTTGAGTGTTAATTAGTACTATAGCAGCTAAAAATATTGGAAAGCTGCGTTACAGACCTTTTAGAACATGATTGCCTGTTAATTGTTTTCTACAAGTACTTGCACAGGCTTGTAGTGCAAAAGATCTTTAAGTTTTCTGAATCCACAGCACAACTTGATAAAGGAAGACGTAAGTATAAACATCCTTGACTATTTTATATAACTCTTTAATGACAAAGCGTTTTGGATGGTGTAAATTTGTTTTACAGTGTTTAATTGAGAATGTTATTTATCTTTGAGGTAGTTGATTTTGTTTGAGACTGTTACCTACTCTGAAGGAGGGAGTTAATGGAGCATAATATTAACATTCATAGAGATTGATCAGTATAATGCATTTTTGTTACCCATTTCATCATAAAAGTCACTTTTAATACAACCCTGTGACTGAATATGACTAATTTGTGTCCAGGGTTAAAACCTCCAAGGATAAGCTATAAAGCAGCCTTTGGCGTCGATGTCACAAAGAGTACCACAGAAACAAAACTTACATTGCTCTTCCTCTAAGTATTCATGCTGGATTTTTTTTTTTAATTTTTTCTTTTTTTTTTTTTTTTTTTTAAGGCTATGTTGCTGTATAGTAAGAACTAGAATGTCCTCCTTATAAGGCAGCTTGGTCACATAAGCAATCACAATACTATAGCACTAAATTAAGCCATTTAAAATAAAAAAACATGAGTAACCTTAAATAGACAAGTTCTGTGTTTGAGTAAATCTGATGATGATACAGAATCATAACCAGGTAAAATGTATTGCATCCTTTTTTCCCTATAGGAAATAAAGTTATCTCTTCTGTTTGAGTAGCTTGGTAAGAACTGGCTTTCATGGTGCAATGCAGAGTATCATAAGTCGATCCATGACTTTAAAGATTTAGGTTATCAAACAATATGAACAATGTCTAAAGAGTTTAGGAACCTTTTTCTGAAAAATTCCATGTCTGATTTTGAGTCCAACCTTTTTCCTTTTGGGAAGAGAGGAAAAAAATTGAGTTCATAGAATACTGAATAGCAGGTGTCTGATACGTTTTTCCTTTTTTTGTTTTGTCCGTTTTTCTTCTATGAATTGCGTTTTTTTCTTTCTTATTCCTTTTTTTTTCATTTTTGTTACAGCTAGTTATAAATAGTGACTTGAATTTATTTGCTTTTTGTTGTTTTATTTTTTCATAGAATCTTTGAGGTGTAGTTTTGGCATATATATGAAGAATGAGATGCTTAAAACTCTTTCTAGAAAGGTTTTTTTTTAACATGGTATTTAACTCCTGAGTTGTTTAAAAAAATACATTAAAAATCACTTAATGACAAACCTGTAAATTTCTTTGGACTTCAGCACAACTCAGTGCTTATAGCCAAACTGTAGGACTATTAAGGCAGTAATATGTTTTCTTGATTTATCTATTTTCTTAAGATTTCAGTACATATTTAATTTTGGCTCAGGCTGGAAACCTGCAGCTTTTGACTTAATAAAAAAGACCTGGAGTGGTCACTGGAACTTTGCTGTTCCTTCTGTGGTGTGTAATAAATATTTATCTGGGTTCTGCTGCACTGCTAAGAGCTATTTCAACTATGAGCCTTCTTTTTTTGTTGGTTATTTTTGTTTATAATCAGTAGTAGCCAGTTAACTTGCTGAGAAATCTTCTGAGATGTGGACCTAAATATGATAAATATTGTGGTAGAAAGGGATCACACTGGGATCTGTTAAAGCTGTCGTACATATTAGCTAGAGTTAGCAGGAAAGCCGGTGTCTCAGTCACTTCTGAACTCTGGTATCAATCAGGTGTGTACTGAACTGTTGAAACTTAACCTAGAAATGTACTGCTCTTTTCACCAGATCTTTCTCCCAGCTATATTCAACAAATCGTAGGGAGAAGAAAAGCATACAAGTCATATACTGGGTGTCAGAAGTGATGTGAAATAAGTGTTTACTGCAGTCACACAAGTAATCTAGAATGCGCTCTGGGGGGGTATTTTTTTTTCAGTCTCTAAAGGTTTCTTAAAGCAACCTCACTGTAATAACTTTGAATTCATAAAATAATGCTGCTTTTTTAAGTCAAGTGTAAGCCTCTTGTTTTTCTGTAATAAAAACATTCAAAAGAGTGTTTCCTTTGCTTGATTTGCACCGTGTTAAGCTTTTAAGTTGTGTTGGCTTTTTCCTGGGATGCTTGTTTTAAGTGCACTGTAGGCCCTGAATAATATGGTACAGAAATGCAGCTAGTATTTTGCAATATTTTGAAAATCATCTCTAGAGGTAGGAGTTAATATTTGCTTGTCTTTTATTTAAGCGAGCACTCTAGCAGTATAAAAGAAATGCATTTCTGAAAAAGAAAGTTTAAATTACCAGACTTGCAAGAATTTCTGTAGCAAAGAGCACTTGAGGCAGACTGTCTTGATGTATATTTCCTTCTGGAAGCACTTGCATAGTCTTGACACTTGGACGTGCACGGCCTCATGCTCCTTTGCTACTTATCTGTGCTGTTTTAACAGCTCCTGTCCGCACTGTGGCGCTCGTGGTTCAGAGGATGGAAGGATTGCACTCATATGTCTGATGTGTTGAAGATGGCACAAAAGTGCTTCATTCTCATGAAGTATTTAAGTAAAAGGTTTAGCTTGCTTAGCGTTTGTCCAGAACTAATTTACCCTGTTCCTCTTTTGTCAACATGTTTGAAGAATAGATTGTACTTGGAGAAATGGGAGGGTGGGGAGTTGTTCCATTGACAGCCAAAAGCTCAGGTCAGTGTAAAGGGTGCAAAACCAGAATGTACTTCCCTTAAGCTGTTAAAATCTCATGAGACTACAGATGTTTCAGGTTGTATTATCCTGTGACAGGTACTAGCTCTCAAATATCAGGGAAGAAGCCAGCTTTCTGCTAATTTGTTCTCATCACTGAGCACATCGCTAGCAGATCAAATCAGATGAAGTTGTTGCACCTTATATTGCTGTAACTGACAGAGACAGTTTTGTCAATATTGTGCTGAATGCTTTGGCCTCTTGGGAGGTACTTGTAATCTGCCTAGACAGTGTACACATTACCAAACCAATTCTCTTTCTCTGATTTCTGAAATTTTAACCATTTTAAAGGATAACCACTGCTGTCCTGTATGCAATTTACTGACATAAAGCATGATTTAGCAGCTGATGTGAACTCCTGTTGCTTGCAAACTTCCTTCTGCCAAGGATTATAGGAGTTTCTATACACCAAGGAGTATAGAAATGTTTCCATTTGTTTAGCAAAGATAAATAGACTACAAGTGTTATGTATAAAGCATTTTTGGTTGGAGAATTGTGGCTTTTAAGAATAAGACAAGAAGGATCTAGCAGGTCCTTTGAAAAAGAGCAAGGAAACCTTTGAGATGATTACTAATGGAATAGTATTGCTTTGTAGCTCAGTTGCAAGTTTAGCATAGTATTCAGCTGGGTTGATGACTGTTCTGACCAAAATGGTGGGCGATTTTAGGCTGCATTAAGAGAATGAAGCTTTGGTAAGCTTTAAGGCTGGCACAGGAAGAGGATGAAAATATGTTGACAGGAGTAATGGGAATGGGAGAAGGGAATGGAGCAGGGCCATATATTTTTGTATCCGTGTCTTGTGCTTTGAATGGATGAGCTACATTTAACATACATGCACGTTTAAGTCCTTCCAAAAGAAATCTTGTATTCTCCACTTACTTTACAAGAGCCTTTGGCTGGGTAAGTTTTCCTGATATACACCAAGTAGCATTACTACAAAATCTAGGCTATTTATGAACATTTGCTGTTTCTCAGGAGAAACATACACTCCAGGTCACTCAAAATAACATACTTTAATGGTCATCCTTTGTTTGAAACAAAAATTAAAGCCCAACTCTTTCTTCTTAGGTTGCTACACTGCTATTTTAAAGGAATGGCAACTTAAGAGTAGGCTTAAATTTTTGCTAAGGTGGCAACTTGTAGTCTTAATGCTTTCAGGAATTAAAGGTCTAATCAATAATGTAGCGTTTGTATTTTCATTGTTAAGAATTGGTTTGGGTTTTATTTTAAATTAAAAATACATGTATTGCAACAGTTGCTGCAATTTCATTCTTTTTACATGAATAGTAAATACTGAGTCTTAATCCAAAGCAGACAATGTACTGTTCATAGACTGTTAAAACTAAGTGACTCAATACTAAATGAAAACAAAAAGACTTTGGGACTTCAGTACCTAAGTTTTTTATCCCCTCCCTCCCAAAGTAATTCTTCTTTTCTTTTATCATTGAGTCATTTTGACTGAGCTGACTGTAACTTTTCTGTTAATCTTTAATTCTTCTTTTCTTAGTATGCTTTTATAAAAGCATTTGAATATTGTGATGGCATAGTGTACATTAAAGACTGAAATGCAAACTGGTGATTTGGATGGCCACTGGCTAATTTAATTTATTTCATCTTTGCTTTGTATAATGTGTCTTTTTTGATCTTACCTTTGCACATTGAGCCAGTTGTGAGCTTCTCCTTAGCA